CATGTTTTAACACTCTTCTCCTAGCTACTCATGAAGACTAATAACAAATCTCTCAAAAGCCTTTTTTTTTCTACTATCTTTTATTCTCATTCTTTTCTCCTCCAAGTCTAAGGAAAGGCCTAGAAGGTTAAAAGGATTTGGAGAGTACATTTTAGGATTGTTTGCCTTGTGTGTGTAGTGATTTTTAGGATCTGTTTGCCTTGATTAAGAGGGTAAACAAACTTGAGAAAGATGGGTTTAGAGTGTTGTCATATGAGTTGAAAAAAAAAAGGCTACAAAAACACCACGAAGAATGTCCGTTTTTGAGGAAAAAAAAGATGAATTGCTTTGTAACAAAAGGCAAAACCACGTTGTATTGTGCTTATTGGGTTATTTATTTCACCTCTAAGCGTCCAAAACGGTGCCATTTTTAATGAGAGAAGTTTTTCAATTTCAACTTTTGTTTCACTCCTTGATAGTTTTGTTTTTTTTTTTTAAAAATTATGTTCCTCAATTGATCATCTTTTAAGCCCTCATTCTTTTTGTTGTTTTGATTGTGCCCCTAAGGTTTCGATCCTTGCTCTTTTGATTTCTTTTCCCAATTTTACCCATGTGTTCTCTTTCTTCCATTTTTTTCCTTTTTTCCGGCATTTTGATTTTTTCTAGTGTTATTACTTCTAGCCTTTTCGATTTTTCTTTTATTTAATTTTCTTCCGATCGGGTTTTTTTTTTTTTGTCTTTTTCTTTTCTTTTTTTTTAACTTTATTTTTTTCTTTGATTTTTCTTTTTCTTTCTATTTTTTTCTCAAATGCTCCGTCAAAACTTTATAAAAACACTAGTATGTTTTCAAATCATGAAAGTGTATAAAAATACCTAAAAATATAGAAATTGTTCAACATGTATTTTTTTAGAATTTTTTTGTATAAATTTTTTTTTTTTTTTTGAAAAATAATGGATGAAAAATAGGTTATGACAATTACCAACCATCTTATTTTCTTTAACCATTCTGATCTATAAATTAAAAAAAAATGTTAAGCTAATAACAAAATTGAGATTAAGTGCGCATATATATATATTCTAACAAAACGAACACATTTGCGAGTCCGAACTAATCTGATTACAGCAATACTTCATAGCTTTTTTAAAAGACTAACGCATGAATATATTCAAAAGCTAATGTGCCTCAACTGGAATGTGCATTCCATGTGGTACATCGTCAATCTCCGATTAATTCCTAACTAGTGGTAATATAATCATCCTATTATTGTAAATCTAGTGGTGGTCCTAGATTGTTAGGTATTGGTTTGGAAGTCCTAGTTTGGTTCAACCGGAAAGTTGTTAAGAGTGAGATAGGGTAAAAAGATTCTTCAACCTTAATTTTAACTCGAATTGAATTTTCATGTTTACAATTTTGTGACATCATATATCTCTATTCTAAATTCTAAATTGTGTGTTCTTATACTTGTCCGGAAAAAAGGATGCACCATTCTATCCATATGAACAAAGTTTCAATAGTAAATCATTGAAGGAAAAATGATTACATCCTTCCGAAACATGACATTCGACCATACATGCAAATGCAATGGAAACTTTCAATTCATATTTCTCTTCACACTTTTCTCGTATAATCTACATACCATAATTTAGTTACTCGTGTGGCAATTGATTTATTATAGATTAACTTACCATTATCATTTATGGTTCTTTCGAAATAATATGATGAAGGTTAAGGTTGCTACCTCTTATTCATAGACTTGTTCAATATTTTTACAAGAGGATGAGAGCTAATTATAGTAGGAACTAAATTATGGGAACTATCAAAGCTAGAAAAGCTAATTACGAGTAAGAAAATCAAAGGAAATTACAATCAAGCACATTAAACGTAATAGTAAGGGAGAGTGTAACTACCCGAGTAAAGATGATAAATGATGATATTTTCCTTATACACCCCTCAAGATGGCGGTTGGTTAGAAATGCTAATCTTATACCTAAGATCTGCAAAGTTTGAACTAGGTGGGGCTTTATGTGTAGATCCGCAAGCTGGTCTTTCCCCGAAATATGAGACACATAAAGTTGTTCGTTTTGAACCATTGTATAGATAAAATGATAATCCACCTCTAGATGTTTAATTTACGAAGGGAAAACATGGTTGATAACCGGGCATGTAGCCCCCAAATTAACATAATAGATGACTGGTCGCCTTGGTAATGAAATAAAGATCTCATAAATTAGATTTTTAACCCATTTAATTTTAGCAATATCCGAGGTAATAGAATGATATTACGCTTCGATTGATAATCTAGCTATACCCCTTTACTTCTTTGAACTCTTAGAAACTAAATTTTTTCCAAGATAACCAAGAAATGCACTCGGTTGAAGAACGATCATCTTTATTACCTACCTAATCCGCATCGGAGAAGGCACGAAGAATAAGTGGAGACCGACGATGAATAAAGAGGCCATAGGTTGTTATTCCAGCAAGGTAACAAATAACTCTTTTTATAGCAAATCAATGATTTTCATTAGTTGATGGGAAAATTAAGCAAGTTTATTAACTACAAATGCAATATATGGTCGTGCCAATGCCAAATACTATAAGGTGCCAACAATCATATGATAGAGCTTTGGGTCATCAAGATGTGAGCTATCCTCCAAGCACAACGAGTTACTCGTAGTAATAGGAGTGATAACTACCTTTGCACCAATCATCTAAGTTTTGGCAATAATATCTTGAATATACTTCTTTTGAGAGAGTAAATTCCATTAGAGGTTCTTACAACTCGAACACCAAGAAAATAAATAATAGAACCAAGATCTTCAATGGTGAAACGATGTCCAAGTTGGTAAATATAATTATTGACAACCTTTAGATAACTACCACTAATAATTAAATCATCAACATACACCACCAAGTAAATATTGATGCCGAGTGAGTATAGATGAAAAGACAATGGTCGGAATATATGGATAGAATTATGAGTGTTATACTCATGCTATATGATAGGAGTAGAAGATCCCACACCTATTGACATGGTGATGCTACAGGAAACACTTAGGTGATTTATATTAAAGAACATATCACTGAACTTGACTCACCATGAGAACCCATTCGACTTAGTCTATGGGAATCTCGTATAAGATAGGTACAACTAGTCCTTAGACTTAAAGTCATCATGGTTGTCTTATTAGAGATTTATGCGGTTTGACACTTGTTTCAATGGACCCGATAAAGAATTGCACATGGTCGATTCATTGGGTGCACTAGGAATCTAATGGAGGTAGGTTTATGACTAAGATAGGATATGTCATTCCTTGTATGCTAAAGGAGTTTATCATATTGCACTTCGATAAATGTTTGCTCTAGAAATCTGTGGTCATAGTAGGAGCACACCAATAAAACATAGTTGGTTTATCTAAGAGCTAAGACATTTGGGAATCAAATGAAACTTATGTGATTATAATCGAACAAGACTTATAACCAAGTTCAAGATTACACTATGATAAGTTGACATGAGGACTAAATTGTATGATAACCATGCTTATGAAAGATAATAATGGATTAATTAATCCTCCTAGAGAATTGAATGGTCATGATGCCTTATTAGAGGCCAATCTTGACACGCCAACATATCTAAGAGTCTATTGAGTCACACTCATAAGTTTAAAATTCACATGATTAAAGAGAAGCAAAGATATTCGAAAAGGTTTTCCTATTTTGAAAAAGGTTTTCAAAAATGAAAAATTTCCCAGAATGGAAAGTTTCCTTAAATGAAAGTTTCCTAAAATGGAAAATTTTCTATTTTAGAAATCAGTTTCCTAATTTGGAAGTAAATAACCTAAAATGAAAATGAGTTTCCTAATTTAGGTTAAAGAGAAGTTTTGGAAATTTTTTCGAATTTGGGCCTCCTAAAATTATCTAAGATTATTTATTTGGATAGTCAAAATAAATTAATTGGGCTAGAATGGTTTTGGTCCAATAGGTTTAATTAAAAGCCTTAAGATATTTTGATTGGAGGATAAACATCAATCCTATTGGATAAGGATAAATTTTTAAAGATAAAGATCAAAAGCCCATATGTAAAATAAGTTTTAATCCTTAGAGGATTAGGAAGCAACAACCATAAGTCTAATTAGGACTTATTTGCCACCCCTCTCCTTGTCCTTGGAGGAAAAAAAACTCTCACTCTATAAATAGGAGGGAGATGTGGCATAAAGTAGAATTTTTTTAGAGAGAAAGATTTTGGCCAACAAAGAAAAAAGGGTGAAGGCACATGGCCAAGACAAAAAAAAAAAAAAAGGAAAAATAGCTTTTCCTAAAAACCCTAGCATCCCACCCTCTCTTCCTCTTCTATTAGGTTGTCACAAAATTACCTAGATTAGATTTCTATAGGTAACACCACATAAATCCAAAAAATGGAGCTAACACTCTACCAATTTTGTGTGTGGCTTTTTATGAGTGCTTGGACTACATGGATCATCAATAAAGGTTGGACACTTGGATGGCTTTTTTGCTCAAGAATTTAGATCTGCACTAATTCTCTATACATTTCTTTCATTTATATACATATATATAGTTAGGTGATTTAACAATATGATCTTGGGCCCTATAGATGGTAAAAAAAAATTTATTTATTCTGTATCTCTATAGGATGCATGATCCTTTATAATGTAAGAAGGTAGTTTCATAATTCTAAACATCAAGCTCTAGGTACTTCCTTGAGGCCATAAATTACCTTCTTCAGCTTGCACACATGATGAGGCTTTGTGCGATCAAAAAAGCCTGCAGGTTGAGCCATGTTAACCTCTTATGTTGAGTGCCCATGCAAGAAAGCATTATTTACATCTAGTTAACGTAAAGGCCAATCTTGTGTGATAACTACTATTAAAATAACTCAAATTATAGCATGCTTAGTAGCATGAGAAAATATCTCAATATAATCAATACCCGGGCCTTATGTGAAGCCTTAAGCAATAAAGTGTGCTTTGTATTGTTTAACGACCTATCTAGATTGTTTTTCATAATGGAAGGAACGAGCTCCCATGTGGCTTGTTTTTCCAAAGCCCAAATTTCCTCAATCATAGTTATTCTTCGGTCAAAATCATTTAATGCTTTTGACACAGATTTGGACTTAGATTTGATCTTAGGTAAGGATTTAGGCTAGGGCATGATTGTGTATTAGGCATGGGTGATGTTCTTTGTATTGGATAAGGTTATGTTATGGCATAACTTTTGTATTGGTTTATGAATATTATTTTTTGCTCGAGTAAGCATTAGATGAGTGTTTCTTTGTTGATCCCTATCATGTTTAGAACATAAAGTAGTAGATGAAGTAAAGAGTGTGTTCATACTTGAATCTTGTACTAATGGACTCAAGGACTCATTTGATGATGGTTCCCTATCGTTGGAATACATAAGAGTGGTTGTCCTAGGGGTGGAGTTGACATGAATGGCCGAATTGGAAGTAGAAGATGTAACCGGGATATGAATAACGATCGGACAATGTGGTAAACATGTAATTGTTGATAAAGGAATAATGAAGTAATGAGCGTAAGTGTCAACTATTGCTTCGATAACTCGATGATCAATCGGTTTCAAATTTTTAAAAGGAAACTCATGCTCAATAAAATCAACATGTTTGGAAACAAAGCATTTTGAGGTGACGGGATCATAACATTTATATGCACTTTATTCAAGGAATAGCCAAGAAATACACACGGAGTTGAACAAGGTTCTAATTTATTTTGTGCATATAGCCATAACCAAAGGTAACACAAACAACCAAATACATAAAAAATTTTATAATTAGGTAAAAAGCCAAAAATATGAAAATATGGAGAGTCATAATTCAATAAAGGAGTGGGCATTCTATTTATGAAATTTGTTGCAATTTGGAATACATATGACCAAAAAGACAATGGAACATTTATGATGTGAAGAGGAGTGATACCTGTTTCAACAATATACCTATGTCATCTTTCAACAATATACAAATGTGAGATTCCATTAGAGGCAAAAAAATCTTTCAAGTGTAGAAATTCACCACCATTGTCGAATAGAAAGAAACAACATAGTGGTTAAAATGTTTTTGCATAACGACCTTAAATTTTGGAAAAAATTTGAGACCTCAAATGTTCTTTTCATAGGATAACATCAAACATATTTTGTACAATGATCCATAAAAATAAGAAATTATTTGAAGGCATCAATGGAATCAACAAGAGAAGGTCCCCACACATCATAATAAACCAAACATTTTGATTTTAAGGAAGAGCCGTGAAAATGAGTTTTGTGCATTTTATTATAGTTACATGAATTATAGTAAAATTTAGAAGTAGTTGAAGGAATTGCCATATTAAGTAAATGCGAGTGTTCGATATAAAATAAGAGAAGAAGGATGGCCAAGAAGATAATGCCATTATGAAACAAGTAGATAATTCGATGGAGTTGACAATTGGTGCAAAAAAGAAAGTGATGCATTCGAGTAATGGCCACTCATAGACCCCATCCTTAGGTTTCCTGGCTACCGGAGGCTTATTCATGTAGTAATCCTTGACAACAAATGAAAAAGGTGAGAATTTAATAGTTACATTATTCATTGAGCACAATTGATAAGCGTAAACTAGATTCTTTTGCATTTTAGGAACACAAAGAACATTATTAAGATATAAAGGTCTAAAACGAGAGGGTAGAGATGTAGAGCCATAATATGTTACTACCAAATTTTTACCATCATTTAGTAGCACATCTTAACTGCCATCATAGTCCGAGTGAAGAGACAGATTTTGAAGATTGACAATCATATGATAAGATGTGTCGAAATCAACCGACCAACTAGGATTGTTATTAATAGTGGTTTGAGCAAAATTTGCTCGTGGTGGAACCTTTGTGTGCCTAGCATTAAAGGAACTCGAGCCACTTATGAAAGAGAACTTGGACCAAGGAAATAACTTCTAGCATTGTTTTACCGTATGTCCGGGTTTATCGCAATATTGGCAAATCACACGAGAACCATCTTTATTGTTCTTCGGCAAATTCATTAAATTTTCCATTGACTATAGAGAGGCAAGCCTTAGGAAGCTGATTGACGTGGAAAATAATGGGTACAATTGTTGGATCCACCATGGCAAGATGTTTAGTTTGTTGTTATGGGAGTAGATATTGGAGTCGATTCATAAATAACAATTATCTCATGATCACACAACTTTTCATAGAGCTCATCAAAGGAAATAGAAGACTCTTGACTTTGTATTGTAGCAGATATCACCTTGTATTTGGAAAGCAAGCCATTAAGAACATGGAATGTGACATCATCCATGGTTAAAGTTGCACTAGAGACATTCAAAATGGTAACAAGTTGTTTTACATGTTGGAGATTGTCGGACATAGATTTATTACCTACGGTCACTTATATAAGAGACTCCTCGAAAGTCATTAGACGAGAACAGGTTGTTTGAGCATAAAGATTATCGAGTGTAGTCCACATGTCATAGGAAGTAGCATTAAACATCACATAGGACACCACCTCTATAATTAAAGAAGCAATAAGAGTGCTCCTGGTCAATTGATCTTGATGGATCCAATACAAAGAGTTTATTTATGTTGTTGTCGGTGGAGCAACAACATAAGGAGTGAAGTTGTATCCAATCAATATAGAATGCCACTAGGAGTACCAAAGTTGATAGTTGGAGGGAGAAAGTTTCACGGAGGCTTGAGCAAAGGTGTTAATAGAAATAACTTGTTCTATTTTTGGAATCATGGTGTTGGAGAAGGGAAGAAGAGAGGTCGGGTTTGAGGGTGGATTTGGAATAGATGTAAGGCGGGGAAGGTCTGGAGATGGCAGGGTGGGTCTTAAGATGTGGGGACGATGGAAGAGAAATAGGATTTGTTATGGCCATTGTTAGGGCTAGGTGTTTGAATGCTCTATAGGTTTGGGCATTGTTAAGTTTGATGCATGAGAGCCCATGGATAGGGATAAAAAATTTAGAGTTGTTGTGTGGCTACAAGCTTTGATATCATGAAATAATATGATGAAGTTTAAGGTTGCTGCCTCTTATTCACAAAATTATTCAATATTATACAAGAGGATGATAGCTAATTACACTAGGAACCTAATCAAAGGAACTACCAAAGATAGAGAAGGCTAATTATAGTAAGAACTTAATCATAGGGAATTACAATCAATCACATTAAACATGACATTGAAGGATATTGTAACTCCCAACAAAGATGATAAATGATGATATTTTTCTTATACTTTCCATGATAACTCAAAACAACTCGCCATGAAAAATAGAATATAACAAGGCAATAAGGATTCGATTTATACATGCTCGATACCATTATAGGATAAATAAAGAAAGGTAATCGGGATTGCATGTTGACAAGTTTGCAAAAGCAACTCTCCGAGATCCAAACCTAACCACTTTTAAACGCAATCAAGTATGTAATTACAAGCAAGGAGCAAAAAAACACTAGTTACACAACCTAGATGCTCGGTTCTTTGTTTCAAGCTTTCTTCCTATAAAAAATTAAAGTAAGCACCCTTTCTTTGTACAATTACTATCATTTTTATAGATATTGTACATCCACATTTTTCCACTCGCTTAAGAACTTGGGGAGCTATAATACGGATGATGTCAATTTTTTGATCCATCAACCGAATTTGGACTTGCTATCCTTTAACCCAACTTCAACTGTCTATATTTGTCCAAACCAAATAAAATTAAACCATGATATAAAACTTTTAAGTTTCTCAAGTTTCTCATAAAACACTTAGATATAATTAAATAATTGCATACATAAAGCCATATGGTAAATTAAAAAGGTATATTATTTTTTTCTTATTAATTAGGATTATAAACTATTATTGCTAATTTTAATTTAAAATATGAAATTCAATAAATTTAATATATATATATATATAGACACACACAAAAGTATGTTTGTGTGTGATAAATTTAAAGCTAATTAAACGATACAAACCTACCTTGACTTTAAATCATTTAAGAATGGCTAATTGATTCGATAGTATTTTGTATTGTTTGTTGATCATTGACTAGCATCTTAACTTCAATTTTTTTCAATTTCAATACGAAAATTATTTTTTAGTTTGTAATTAGGTAGGCCAATGCCATTGACCAAAATCTAAGTACAAATGACGAGCACGTGATGGTAAAATAACTAAAAAAAACTCATACATAAATTAACGATGTTCAAGAAACTAAATCTTTTTATGACATTTCATCAAACACATTAAGATTATAAAAAACACACCCGCATTTTGCTAATCATTATATTATAAAAATGCATATCAAATCCAAATTTCAACTTCATTGTAATACAATGAACCATTTTTCCAAATTCATTTTTCCAAACACCACATCACTCTTATTATTATTTACTGGTCGTAAATAGAGAACAAAGAAACTCAAAGCATACAATAGTTTTTTACCTTCACTTAGCATCAAAGTTCCCAAATGATATATAATTTTGTTTCCAATCAAACAAGACCTCAAAGACAACTACAAATTAGGTACACCTAAGTCTCGAAAAAGCAAGCATCTAATGTTTAAAATCTTTGTGATCAAATTGCAACTACGTATGTCCGCAAGTTGAAAATTACTTAAAAATAAACAAATAAATAAAAGGAAGAAGACCACAATCCCGGAGGACTTTGTTTACAGGAAAACAAAACCAAGATCAATCTTTAAGCTTGAGCATCATGTATTGTTATACCTATAACATCCTCAACCTAAAGTAGGCCAAGAATGTTACCAAGAATGCCTCGCACTCGTTGTGCAATAAATGTAAGATACTAAGCCTCGTGTCTTCTACTTCATATATGAATTACCTAGCACAACGAGAAAAATTTTTTAGTTTAAAGACTAATGTAATCCATGGATTAAATGGATAAAACTCATTTAACCCAATTTGGATTCCATAAATGATAAATTATTTTACAATCGTTTCAAGTATTACAATTTGGAAACCATTTTATTAGACTTGTACATGTATAAAACCATTGCATAATTTCACAACATAAAACTAATTTCTCGTAATATCTCGTGACCTAAAACCCTTCTAAAAATATAAATATATTGTATAGATATTTTATTTAATTAATGAAAGGTGAATTTATTACACGTATAAGTAAATCTTAAATTATAATTAAAGATAAAAGAAACATAAGTAAGATTAATGGGATAAGATAATAGAATGAGTAAGGCTTGAATTAGACAATGGTACCCTTAATTGATATAGTTATGCTATGTCATATGGGTGCAATTGTAAAACCTAAGGGTTTAATCGCAAAGATTAAGAATTTTAGTCCTTAATTGAAATGATTAGGAAAATGAGGCTAGAATTATCCTTGGGATAGGCCTAGATGAGAGCCACATTGATAGAAGTTATGAAGTTATGGACTGAAATTGTATGATCAAATTGTAAGGATTGGAAGTTCAGCGACTTAAGTGTAAAGTGCTAATCTTATGAGGAACCCATTAGTTAAAATTGAGGGATAATTATTGATACATTAATCTAGAAAATTTCGGACAAAAGGAGACGGAGTAAGTCATTGTTAGAGAAGAAAGAAAGAAGAGATAAATCTAGGTTAAAAAGGGAGGAAGAAAACGAAAACTCAAGGGCCATTTAATGAACCACCTTGAAATAAATCCAAGTGCACCACATTTGGCTTGATCTCGAGGAAAAATCCTAACCATAAATAAGGAGACGGAAGAAGATGTAAGGGTTACTCCATTAAGCTTCGAAGCAACCCTTAAGAAAGAGAGATCCTAACCACCTAAATCTCCACTCCAAATCACTCTAATTAGTTCAAAAACACTCTAAAATAGCCTCCAAACCTACTTAGAGGATCAAGTAAGGAGAGGGAAGAATCATCTACTTTGGTTGAAATTCTTAGTGGAAGGAAGAGGAAGAGATGAAAGGACGAAGAAAAGAGAATTGATCAAACTCTAGGTGAGGTAAATGTAACTCCTCACTTACACCATAAGAATTAATGTTTTGAGATGTGATTAGTGTCAATTTATCGTTTGGTTGTATGAATAGTTAATGAATGTGTTGTTAAGGATTATGAGATGATGATTGAATTGAAATGGTTTAGTCATATTTATATGTTTATTATGTGAGGATAATGGTGTATGAATGTTTAAATGAAATCAATTCATGTGTTTAAGGGTTGTTCTTGTTCTCAAAAAAAAGTTGATGAACAACCTTAAATATGTATAAATTGATAGTTACTTTACCTAATTCCTACTAAATATTTGATGAAATGTCTTAGAGATATTTGTGAGGCTGAATTGGAAGAATGAAAGTTATCCTTCACTTGGCCTAAATTCAGCCTAAGTATAAAAAACAAGGCCAACAAGGCAATTGTCAAATGTGAGGTTTAGAGGTATAAAAGGAATGAAAATAGTTATATTCACATGGAAATTGATTATTTATGATGCTTGTTATGATTGGCCATGGTATGATGTTTATCA